AAGTATAGGGTATTTTAATTCTTTAAAGGGGCAAAAAAGTCCAAAAGTGACAATTTTGCAATGACTTTCAAACGGTGACATTTTCGTAAATGCAAACCCAAAAAATGACATCTGGTGTAATTTCCTCAATAAATTTTTTGGGCGGGCAAAAATTATATAGCAAATATAATTATAATTATTTCCCACGTGTTTTTATATTTTGAAAATGTTGTATAATTACTTCATTGTCAATTTCGTTAACTATATCTTTCTCGATAAACAAAATATTACTTTATTCTATTACTAAATTCTTTCAAGAAATTACCAACTAAAACCTTCCAAAAATTACCCGGAGATTGCACACTAAATAGAGATGAAAATTGAATTCCTAATCCCCTTAATTACTGCTCTCTGAATTCTAAACTTTTTTCTAAACAAAGAGTTAGAGAAATGAACCAAATGCTCGCAAATTTAACTTAAAAATGCAATGAGGAAGTTCTAAATCTTAAAATCATTTCAATATTTTGTTCTGTATTTTTGAATTGATGGAAGACATATAGACATTAAGGAAAAAAAAAATATGACTATAGGCAAAAGGTTTAGCTTTAATGAAGCCATAACTTTTTGTCCCAATTAAAATGACATTACTTGATTAAATAGAAACCAGCAAATCTTATTTGATAAAATACATGTCCTACTTTGAGATAGCCCAACGACAACAGTCTTCAGCTTTTCAAGGTTGATAGGTGTGTATTTGTCGCTCCGTAAATTATTAGTAGTTGAGGCTAAAATCGAGTTGTCTTAATAAACTTACTCAAAAAAATCTTGATTGCCCCTATGATCTCTATATTTATTCAAGAAAATAAATACAAATACACACACAATAAGCATCTAATATTTTACTACGAGAATTGAAGTACTTAAACCTAAATTTCCAACAACGAATAACTGTGAAAACAATAAGATATTTTAAAAGTACAAAACATGGGAGAAAGGACGAACCTTTTAATTTCCTTTTTTTTATAAATTGAAAAAAAAAAATAAAAATCAAGTGGTCTGTAGACCGCCCTTGCCAAAGAGGGGCGAATTCCTTAGATTCATCTAATGCAATATATTTAACAACAAACAGTTTCTTTATAAGAGTCAAATTATCATAACCAATACATAATACTACTTAATATCTGTATTGATTACCTTCGATAGCATACTTACAATCAAAGGCTAAAGATGACATTCTTTCATCTTGAAGAACGTCGTAGCACACTAACCTTTTCGAATCTTTTGAAAGTTTGACAAAAAATTTAAAAAAAAATTATTTCCGGCAAAAAAAGAAGAAGAGGAATGAGCTAGCCATCACATAAATTGCGTAGTATAATAATGCAACATAAAATGTAGAAGTAGTGAGTGGATAGTGAAAGCTCTTTTCGAAGTGGTATAATAATACCAAACAAATTATGAGATTAAAAAACCAATCAAATGCTTAGAAGAGTGATGAGAGTAGATGTTTTTTATTAAAAAGGGAGAATTAGTGAATGCATAATGTGAGCACAAGTTTGTGAAAATTGAATGCATTGACACTTCCTTCTTATAAGTATTTCTCAATGCAAAAAATATGAAGTGTCAGAAAAATTTGAAATAATAAATTTGAATTTTCAAACAACCATTCAATGGTTACCTGAAATGATTACACATTTCACATGACATTGCTACATTTCCGTATGGTTGAGCGAGCCAGCAATAGCTCATGAGCCACGATCATGAGTTGGCTCACCCCACTTAACACTCATAATCATTGATGATTAGCATCAGTCTAAATGGAAATGGGATCATAATCAATGTTATCCATCGTTAGTTTAGGTGGTAGTGAGTCACTATATTGATTGTCTAATGAAGTTGTAGTGCATTTTAATGCATTGGACTATGAATCAAATGATTCGATGTCACTTAGACGTGTGATTCTTGAACTGTTTGATCTAAAAATTTAATATGTTAAACAAGATTACATATATTGTTTTTAAACATCGTTCACACGTCCTTTCACGTTCATGCAAAACAAAGTTATTAGTCGTAGCTTTATTAGTACACAATTCATTTTAAATTGTGGCAACGAGACTTAAATCCATAAATATGTCTTGATATCATATTGAAATATTTGATTTAAAAACTTAAATTTTAGACAATGCCACATTTATATTATTTAAGTGGATAATGCTATGTGTACATAATATTTTACACAATCATTTACACCACTTTCACATGGAGGGGGCCCACACACAATAAAATATTTGTGGGGCCCCTCCATGTGAGGGAAGTGTAAAACTATGTGTACACCAACATTATTCTATTTAAGTTATATCTTCAACAGTTATGATCACATGTTCACAACTAACAATGAATAACATTACTACTATCAAATGAATAAATACAATAAATAATGTTATTTATCATTAGTAGTGAACAATATTTATTTGGGTGACAATGTTTTCCTTGATTCATTGTTCGATAAAGTTGTGATGCGTTTCAATGCATTGAACAATAAATCAAAAGACCAACAACATTACTCTGTAAAAATATAACTTAACTTCACCTAGCAACATGACAATGGCTCTACTATCACGTTGACTGAAATTAATTACCGATAACAATAAATAACATTATTTTGTAGCCTAATATCTTAACATCATAAACAATCAGCCCTATTTTTTATAAACTCATTTTGAACAATACGTTCTTTCAATAAAATAATTTAAATTAAAATAAAAAACTTTTTCTTCCTTTATAACCATATATTCTCCAAAAGATCAATATTACAAAACCTATTTTCCATAAGAGTTATACTACATTACCAGATTGATTTTACTAGAAATTGTGCAAGATTAACACTTGGCAGCATTTCATTGGTAGTTGGGCCAAAAACATTTTCCAACCATCCAATTGCAATTTGCCAACTCAAATTGACAATCTGATTCTGGTAAAATCATCTAGCAAAGTAGCAAATTTTTTTTCCATAAAATGGGGCTCAAACACAAATCTCCAGACTCTTATCTTTGATAAAACTTTGCTTTTGGCAATAAACTTTTTTTATCAACTCCAAATAATTATAATTTCTCATCACCTTAGGAGGATTGAATAAACAAATCAATCCAGCCTATGATTTTTATTACTACCGCCTGATATTAAAATAAATTGGATTTTAGCAATAAATTTTTTTTTATCAACTCCAGATAATTTGAATTTCTCGTCACACTAGATGCTTGCTTGAAAATTTTCACCGATCTTTACTGTTTTTAGTGGCATTACGAAAGGATTAGAAAATTGGTGCTAGTTAATTTTTTGACACTAATTTTGGATAATTTAACAACTAACCAAAATCGATATAGTGTAATTTTGATCATATTTTGCAACCCATCAAATTGGTCGATTTTGATCGTTTCTCAATTCTCTTCCAATTATCATCTACAACAATTATTTTCATTCCACGTATTTTTTCAAAAATAACTTGTAAATAAAAATATATTAACTAAAAAATTAACCCATAAGCAAAAAAATTACTTTATAACAAAAAAAAATACTTAAAGATAAAAAATCACTTGTGTAAAAAATTGCTTATAAAGTAAAAATAGTATTAATAAAGACAAAAATTTACTTACAAAATTTAAAATTACTTATAAGTAAAATATTTACTTATATGTGAAAACTATTTAAATGTACAAAATTAATTTATAGCTGTAAATGACTTGTAAGTAGAAAGTTACTTATAACTAAAAAACTTAATTATAAATAAATATTTCACACTTTTAATATGTAAAATATTACTTCATAAGTAAAATATCATTGGAGTAAAAAAAAAAAAAAATATATATATAAAGAATATTAAATTTTTTACTAGGGGTTATATATGTAATTTTATTTTTTAAAAAGAACTTTCAGAATCGTTGAATAATAAACTTTAAAGTATGAGTTGAACCATTTTAAATATTGCTATTAAAAATCGAACTTATCATAAAATGCCCAAAATCGATATTTTAATCAGTGTTCTAAAAACCGTAAAAAATGATTAGGCGTGGAGGCTAAGCTTCAATCTTTACGATCTAATAGTAAAAAAACGTTTTCTTATTTTTAATATTAATAATTCTTGCAATTATTCAATTATAAATTTTTAAAGAAAAAAACTTAAAACTAAATCAAATAAAAGGCTTTTAAATAACGGGAAAATTTTTAAAAAATTAATAATACGCACATAGACGCTCATTAAGTGGTCAACTTAACAGTTGAACGCTTAATTCGCTTTTATTACCAAGGCGAAGCGCTAGACGCGTTTCTTAAAATATTGTTTTAAATCAACTCATAATCGGTACCTAAAAACTCCCAAGTAAGAGGATTGAATAAACCTAACAATCTAATCTTTAATTTTCTTATGACTTATGGATATCAAAATAACTTGAAATAAGGAATTCTTTCTAGCTAATTCAAAATAATTTTTAAAATCTTTATTTTGTTGTTTGTTTTAAGTACCAAACATGTATACAGTGGGAAATCAAACAAGATGTCACAATTTTAATAAGAAACTTGTGCAAAATTACTGGTTTGGTCATCCAATAAAATAAGGAAACCCGAATTGTGGATTGTCATCACTCATCATAGTTATTACAAATCATTCACATTCCGTCTCTATCGTTTCTCTGTCTCATTTCCATCTGTCTTCTGGGCTCACACCTCAAAGGTAGCGATAAAGTAAAGGACGTGAAAATGGCTAGTAGCGGAGGTGGGTATGGAGATGCAAGCCAGAAAATTGATTATGTGTTCAAGGTGGTGTTGATTGGTGACTCGGCAGTGGGCAAGTCTCAAATACTGTCCCGTTTTTCACGAAACGAGTTTAGTTTGGATTCCAAGTCCACCATCGGGGTCGAGTTCCAGACTCGCACGCTTGTAATCCAGCACAAGTCCGTTAAAGCCCAGATCTGGGACACCGCCGGCCAAGAACGGTACATACACGCATATCTATATATGAATATTTACTTATGTATAGATTAAGAAATTCTTAGGAATATTTGAAGTGTTTCCACGTTGTGATTCAAGTAGTTTTGTGTTCTGTAATACGTTTTTTG